ATCTTCTTTGACTGCTCCCTTTAGGAGTCGCCACAGTGGATGATCTGCCTCCATCGCACCCTATCCCTAGCATCCTCCTCTGTCACACCAACCCTCTGCATGTCTCACTGCATCTATGAATCTTCCTATTTTCCTGCTGCCTGCCTTTCTCTCCTCTGCACATGTCAAAACATCTCAGCTTTGCCTCTAACTTTTTTCTCCAAACTGCTCGACCTGAATTGTCCCTCTAATGTACTCCTTCCTAACTCCACCAGCTCGTTATCATCTTATAAACCTTTCTTTTCACTCTTCCTGTTATCTTTCTGTCACAAATCACCCCTGACACTCCTCTCCACCCACTCCACCCTGCCTGCGCTCTCTTCCACACCTCTCTTGTGCACTGTCTGATGCTTTGGATGGTTGATCTCAGGTATTAAAACTCATCAACTTCATATTTACTCCTCTGTCAAACTACAATTTAAAATAATTCTGTTGAAATGTTATATTGAAGGCAAATAATGGCCATAAAAAGGGGGGTTTATTAAGAGTTATCGATGCTGCTGGTTAGAGTAATTATTAAAATTCACATTCACTTGCAGTATGTTGATAGATTTGGGTCCTCAGACTGTTTTTCGTTTGTGTCAAAAAACGCTGCTGTTAAAATTTCTATGAACTAGTAACTGAATTATTTAAAAAGCAAATGTTACATGACTTTAGAGTAACAAAACTGTACTGAACAATAATAGTCGATGCCATTACTGTCAGTGATGTAGTACACCCTGCAACTATAAGGTTCCCATAATCACAGGAAGCTATTTTGCTGAATATTTTTGTGTTTATCACACATATAAACATGGCAGAACGCGATCATACAGTGTGGGATGGTGTCGCCATCTTCATCGAGCGAGGGCTCTTCTCCTCCTCCAACTCCTCTAAGACCCGTAAAGACTTCTGCTTCTCCAGATGAGGGCCTTCATTGCTGTATCTCCTCCACTCTCCACTAGGCCACAAGCTCTGCATTCATGTTTAGATGATTATCACCCACCTACAAACATGCACATAGATAAAGACAGTGTGCCTGTTACGTTGCATTCAAACTCATGTAAAATAGCACAGTACATGGTGCCGTGGCACTCGGCACAAATGAACACACGAACACAGGATCAAATAGTGGCTGATCCTGGCTCATCCCATTACAGGTCAGCTGACTCCTCACTTTTCAAGGGCTCTTCTTTCAACTTATAAGACCTGCTGCTATCCAGACTTAGGTGTTAAACTTAATAACAGATCGATCATAGCACTTGTGGGAAGTTTAAGCGCAATATAATGTAACTTTAAAGATATTTAAATATCCAAGAGCTCATTGTGAATTGTCACCACAGGATGGTCGGTTTTGCTGTGATGCTACATTAACAAAAAAAAGCTTCACGGTGGTTTTCCTGATTCATCGACACGATTCCAGGCTAGGCTTTGGTCTGAACTAATCAGATACAATGTACGTACAGGATGAAGGCCACATAAAGAGTTTATAACCATAGTGGGAAACTTTGGGTAACACGCTTACAGCAGTAACCGTACAAGAATCTCGCCCAAACCTACTTCACATAAAGTCCCAGCGCTCTCTAAATTAGATTATAATCGACTTCTTACGACGCCAAAAGTCACCAAAAATCTCCCAACCCGTCGGTCGCTGTCTGACTGACCAGGGGCGCTTTCCTGCGACTTGGTGCTGAACGCCTCTTCCTCTCTCCGGCTCGCTACGAGTGGCAAGAAGGAAATAACTACTTCTCAATATTTCTGAAAGAGACGGTCGGAGTTTACCGCCGCCGAGTCATGACATGCCTCCCAACTTTTTCACTAAACCCACTTCGCCGGCAAGGCACACCTGAAATAGTTCAGCACCCCCGTGTTAGACCCTACCGGGCTCCCTATTGTTTTCTACGGCTTTACTATCAAGGCTGAGGGAATGGCTCTTTAAAGCCAAGAACGCGGAGAGAGGCGATACGCTGGAGAGGTTCTCCATTTCTTCCGCCGCTTCCCAGTTAAATAGCCCCCGTAGCTCTCTTTCAGCAGTCGTTCACCAGCCGGCCAAACCCTCGGCAGTCTTGTGTATCGTACGGAGTGACAGAAGTCTTAAATTCGGCCCAGCTTCTCTAACATTTGGGTCATTACATTTCTCGTTTTCGCTCACTTACCTCCGCCATTCCGTTTCTGCGCAAGCTGACTATTGCCCGGATGTTGTAGGTCTACTCTTCTCTGCTGCTCCGTTTATTGCCGCAACGATTCAGCAACAGCGGCTGCAGTGCAGCGTCGCACACAGTTACAATGACTTTTTTTCAGTAGTTTAGTTCATTTTGTTTAAGTTTACAACTTGTTGTTTTTTTAATCCTTCGTAGTTTTAAATATTTTTTTTAAATCGCCCCGAACCAACACTTTCGGTATCATCTTTAAAAAATTTGTTTTACTGTAAGTAACAATTCTAAAAATATTACTAGAAAAAGAAAAGAGAAATTTATCGACTGATCAGTCAATTATTCTTCGCGTTAAAACTTAATATAATAGTGACCCAATTTCTGCTCTTCTGCTATTAAATTAGTAAACAATAGTTTGGTACTGAATGCATCTTTAAGTTAAATGTAAAGGCCCCCCTTTACCAACACGTCCACGTGCGGTTGCTGGAAGACACTACGGTTTGTGCTGATTATGCGAGTGGAGGAGGGGACAGGACGTGGCCAAAGCAGATAAAGATTGCTTATATGGCTTTGTCCTCAGCCAGTGTCAGCGACTATAGAAGCATATAATGTAGCTCTACGTGTTGTCACCATATTCTCTGACATGCCTTAACTAAACTTGAATATCAAGCAACGAAGGTGAGAATATTTTTTTAAAAAAAGAAAAAGAAAAAAGAAGCAGTGGGAAAACAAAAAGTATCAACATTTAACTAGGAAGATAAAAAAACTTGTTAAATACCGTTAACTGAAGAATGTCTGCTTAGGATGGCATAGTATTTGCATAAATACTATTCAACGTCTTCAAAGTCTTGCGCCACCTCTTATCCCTTTACATTTTGCTTTCAAGGAGCCAGACTTTCTTGTAATTTTATAAAATGTTTTCTGAAGGTCTTTCAAAAATTTTCTTTGAACATTGGTTGCTTTTTCAATTATTTTTAGTCCAGTTGTACCCGACCATTTCAAGAGGAAGCTTTGTCTTGTTCACTTTACCTTTGAATCACCAAAGCAGAGAAAGGCACCTAACTCATGAGACAAACCAGACACTTATCAAAGCCCTTATTTTAAATTGTGTCTTCAGGCATGTTGTTACTAACAGCTGAAACACATATAATCTGTTCCAATTTCTTTAGTTGAATCTGTGACGAATGCAAAAGATAACACGGGCACAAAATAATATTTCTGGACCATCAGGGTGCTTCCCAAAGAGCTATCAGCCAAAAATTGGTATACCTTGGTACAGAAACTTGGTGCAGTTTGTCTTTTAAAACAGCTGGACATGTGGAGAACAAAAGTAGAAGTGGGCTAAACGCTATCTACAGCAGATGAACAGTATCTGGAATTCATGTCCCTAAAAGATAGAAAGAAGACCTGACACAGGATCTGAGACATGCACCAGGCCCTTCAGTTGATCCAGAAGCTCATCTTAATGAGGGAAAAAGAGAAAAATTATACCAGAGCTGAACTGAACATCGGTGGCAATAGGTCTCACGAAGTGGTGAATACAAATTTGACATTTGTGGTTCAAATTGTTGTCAGTATTTGCAGAGGAAGTCAGGAGAGAGGTACAGCAGTGAGTGTAAAGCATGGTGGAGGCTCTGTCATGGTGCATGGCTGCATTTCAGTCAGTGGGGTTGGGGATTTTGTCAA